TTAGAGGAAAACCCAGCCTACCTGCTTTAGAATGTTCTGTTCTCTCATCAGCTTCTGCCGYTCTCTGTTAGGTTTAGAAAACACCACTTCCAGGACATCCTGCCCAGAATTAGTTCCACCAGTAACAAAGTAGACCAAATCCTCCAACAGTTTGGTGACAGATCTACAGAAAAGCCAAAAATTGTTAACATGAGAATATAAATTCTCTGTGCTAAAGGAACAGTGTCAGGGTAAGTTTACACTGATTTCTAAATGCTAAGTGAAAAACTAACAGCAATTACAGCCTGGATAAAGCTCAGAAGTTTGCACAGAATTTAAAATGAGGAACCAATGCCCCCCATTGCTGTGGGAGCAGCAAAACCAGAGCAGCAGCAAGACAAGAAAATCACTTTAGGGTAACTCTGCACTTGCCAAGYTCTATTTGGCACTTCTTTCAATTGCCACAAACAATAAATCAGGTGCTAATCTCTCCCAAGGCCAAAKAAAAGGCAGTGGCTATGGAAGCACAGAGTCCTGGTGGGACACAGCCACCCCTGTGCTCTTTTTGTGTGGCCACGTTTGCACGGCCACGGTCAGAGGATTTGCAGCGAGTCACATGCTCAGTGCTCACGGGATGGATTAGGAATTCCCACATCCATCTGCAGGGCTATGCTGGGGATTAGTCCCCCGGGCTCACAACATTTCTCATGCTCTCACTTCCCAGAGGACAGGGAGGGCTGGGCAGAGCAGGCCTGAGAACCTCCACTATGGACACAAAAATAAAACCATTGATTCTCAAAAACCTCCTTCAAGGAGAATACCAAATCCCTCTTCTGAGCTTACTCTGATAACATTTTCAAAGAAAAAGTTACAGAGCAAAGGAAACAACATTATCTGGAGCCAGTTCTRGTTTCCTTACCTTCTTTCATTCTGGGTTATTGTTCCCTTTTCCAACTTGCCAGCAATGGAACCCAAAACTTTACTGGCATCGTTGGCAAAGTCCAGGTCCCGCACCTCTGCAGGTGASACTGGCACTATGGCAAAAGCTTCTTTGTCCTCCTTCACTGGAGAGGTGCCAATCTGAAACCCAGACAAGCCCAATCAGCAAACCCAGGGCAGGAATGAAGTGACAATGGCACAGAAAAGCCCCTCTCTGCTCAAACAGCATGGATTGCTGCAGAGGCCAAACCCTGAAAACACATCACCACCCTGAGCAAGGTCAGAGCTGCTCCCAAATTCCATGGAGCAGCAGGTGAGACACCAGAATGTGCTGTCCCAGTGGCAAAAACATCCYCCTCCTGATGACTACTGTGGAGCAGAAGCTGAAAACAGCCTAACTAGAAAACCACCATGAAACTGAGCCCTTCAGAGCAAATATTCTGCACAGGTACCATTCATTCATTATTGTCACATGCCTGGAGTGTGACAGGCTCAGGGAGTGCAACCACCACTCCTGAGGAAGGACAGGAGTCAAAGGCTGTGCTTACCCCGAGGAGCAGAACTCACTTTGAGCATCACRGGTTTCTCCTCTTCTTTATCAATGGGGATGTTGGTGCTGTGAACCCAAGTGTTGGTGCACAGGTGCCTGAGCCTCACGTAGGAGTTCCTGAAAGAGAGTCAGGAGTGGCCCAGCATGAGAATTCTCTGGGATTCTCATGGGAATTCTCTGCACTGCTGGGATTGGGAGATGCTGGCAGGAACAAGGGGAAAAGAAGTGTCAGCCCCGTCCACAGTGCATGCTACAACTGCAATAATGCTCTTCTTGCCTCTGCTCATCCCACAAATTCACCTGAGGAAGGCTTCTGTGAGGAAAGGTTTTGCTTTAAAGCAGAACCAGAGGCACACTGAATTGTTTTAGCTCAGCTGCACAGAAACCAATTGAACCTCTTCCCATCTTTTCTCACTGCTATGACCTGCCTGCTTCCTCCCTTCCCTCTGGGTCCCAGAACACCCCAATATCTCTGTTTTGGGGTACCTGATGATTTAAGGAGCTGCTGAATAGACTGAACAAGCCTGCTGGGCTTTCTCAGTGGAACAGCAGCAAAGGGCCTGTGTGTGTGTTTATGTGTGTGTGTCTTGGAAGGGTGCAGCAGCTTTTCAATAGCATGAACAGTAAAAACCATGTAAACAACTAAAAATCCTGTGCTAAACAGTTGATTTTACATCCCAACTAACCCAATAYAGACAGCCCACAGGAGTGCCTTAACAGCAAACCCAAGGCTTTTAGTCCCAGGTCATTCCTGGCAAGGAAATCACTTAGGAAGCCATTTAATCTCAATTTTCCCATCTGTAAAATGGTGTTCTTGTATTTACACCTCAACTTTAAAGTACCACAGTGAAGCTTCAGGCATTTCCTAATGATTTCCACATTAATTTGAGGAGGGACCCGATTCCAAAGGATAAAAGAGGAACAGTTTGGGGCAGCATAAAAACCCCCCAGAGCCCCCCGAGCTGTGTGAGCCTACCTGGGCACGAGGCTGTCTCCCCCTCGCAGGGTGGTGGGGTCCAGCTCGAAGATGGAGGAGATGTCGTTGCCCTCGGGCACGGACACCAGCGAGTATGCCATCTTCTCTGGAGAGCCCCGGCCGCGCCGTGCTGCCTCCTGCTCGGGGTCCAGCTGCCAGGGAACCCCCAGCCCCGTCAGGAACAGCCCAGCACAGCCCCTCTGAGCTCCAGACACACACACCAGGAGCTGGGGGATGCAGGACACAGCCGCTCTGGGCACTCACTCCTTACTCCCTGGAGTAACTGCTGAGCAYCACCCTGGAGGAACTGCCCCTCTGCACATACAGACAGTGCCAGAGGACACAAACCCCCCCAGGCATTCACCCCACACAYCCCAGGAGTGTCTGTAACACACATCAGCTGAGATCCCCAACCCTGACACAGCTCCCACACATTGGATTATCCCCTGAACAGAGCTGAAAATACAAAAACCACCACACCACACTGACAAGGTTACTGGGAAATAACCAGCTCCAGCAGCAAAAACAGGACCCACATTCATCAAACCCAGCAAGAAAAACAAAAAAAATCAAGGAGTTGGATGTCTTGCTGTTCACAAYACAGCCYRTGCTGCTCTCAAACACAATAACACRTTCCACAGGCCACGGAACCAGAAGGATTCTGATTCCCAAATCCCCAGCCWCCTTCAGCAAAGATACATCAACTGGATAAAACCCTGGGGTTTCACACGAAAGGACGAAAAGGTAGGGAAAAAAAAACAAAGATGAACTGAGAAAAAGAAACAACAGCTTTCTCCAAATCCTTCCTCAGGGAACTCCCAGCTCTCCCTAAAGAACAGGGCACACAGGAGCCAGCTGTCCATGTTCAACCACCTAAACCCTGGAGAAAATTCCCAAAGTGACCA